ATGTCCCTGCCTTGGAGCATGCTGCTCACCACAGACTGAATCTCCTGAAACCGTGAGCCAAGTTAAACCTCTCCTCTTTCAAGCTGTAGGTGCTGGCATCGACTCCCAGAGATTAACGTGATCACGAGAGATGCCCCATACTCCCCATAGGTGTCAGCGTGACCACAGTGCTCACCATGACACAAGAGGCTCAGAAATCAACAGGAGAAACTCACATATGTTGATGCTCAACAGCATCTTACTAAGAATCTTCAGGTAAGTAGACAACTTAAGGGAATGGAAAAATAGAACTGAATGATAATTGGTCAAAATTCCAGGGTCACAGATAAAGTACTACCTAGAAATATATAGTCTTAAATTCATTTCTCAAGAAATAATCAGCAGAAAACAGAACTAATCACACAAGTAATTCAAGAAAGAATAATGGAACAATAAACATAAATTAATAAAACAGAAACAGTAAAGACATGGGCAACATCAATGAAATAGAGAACAATCTGTACTATTAATAACAAAAACAAAGTTGCATATGGTGGTGCACACCTGTAATCCCAGCAGTTAGGAAGCTGAGGCAGGAGGATTGGTTGCTAGAAGTTCCAGGCCAGCCTGAACTACACAGTGAGGACCTGTCTAAAAACAAGCAAACAAACTAATAACCAAAACCAAAACAAAACACCCAACGAAACAGTAGCAAAAATCAAAGGTGATATTTTGAAAAGATTAATAATATACTGATTTTGACATATTGGGCAAAAAAAGGAAAATTCAAACAAAATTAGACTGAAGATATCATATATATATAAAATGGAGTACTACTCAGCCACAAAGAATGGGAAACTAGGGCTGGAATTTAGTTCAGTGCTACCATGCCTGCCTTGCAAGCACAAGGTCCTGAGTTCCATCCCTGGTACCACCCACACATAAAAAAAAGAACAAGAAACTAGAGACATTTATAGCTAAATGGATGTACATTGAGGCCATACTCTTAAGTGAAATGAATAGGACACGTGTCAAAACTGAATAGTTTCTCTGGTGTGAGAAACTAAAAGTGTAAATAAGGATCAAAGTGTACAATTGATAATGTGAAATAGGAAGAAAAGGTCTAAAGGGGTAGAGGAAGTGGGAGGAGTAGGGGAAAGGAAAGAAGGGAAAGGAAAAAATATGAATAGGGAAAAATAACCACATAATCTAACCATAGATTATGTAAAGGTACAAATTTCCAATGATGACTCTCATTATACTGTGTACCTAAAATGTACCAATAAACTTAATGATAAAAAAGAAAGGAAAAAATATGAGAAAAGGACAAATGGAAACAAAGTCTTTTTAAATAGGGGGGATTGGAGAGGTTGAAGGGGGAGTGGGGAAAAATAAGAACCAACATACATCATGTAAGGGTACAGATTCCCAAAGTAACTGGATTATGTACCTAAAATATACAAATAAACTTAATGAAAAACAGAGACTGAAAATAGATCACAGACTGACAGATTAAAAAACCCGCCAGAACATTTTAAGCAGTTATATTTTAAAAAATTGAATTCCAAGACCAGTTCAAAGAAAAACAGCTGGGCTTGATGGCCCATGCCTATAATTCCAGCAGGAGGATGGAAAATTCAAGGCCAGCTTGGGCTACATGGCAAAATCCTGTCTCAAAAATACAGTAAAAAGGGCTGGAGATGTAGCTCAGGGCAGAGTGCTTAACTGGCATGGGTGATACTCTGGACTCAATCCTCAGTATGGCGGAAAACAAATCAAAACAACCCTCTTGCTCCCAAACAAATCCAACCAACCACAAAGCAAAACCCCCGAATAATACCTGCCCCAGTCAGCATCCCCGGGACTTCAGGGTAAGCTGCTGCTGCTCTTGTGTAGGTGAACACACGCTCTGTAAGGCTGTTTTTATTTTGGGCAGAGTAACACATCTTTTAAAAAAATTATTTATTTATTTTGGTGCTGGGGATCAAACTCAGGACTTTGTGCTTGCAAGGCAGGTGCGGTGCCACTGAACTACATCCTGGCAGCAACGCATCTTTTAACCAAGTCAACAAAACCTCTCCCTAACCCTTTAGGATGAAACCTATTCCTGTCACGATGACTGAGCCTGACTGCCCTCTGGGGTCAGGCATAGGGACTGTCCTGACTGCAGCGAGTCACTGCTGACCTGTCTCAGACAAACTCGGAACTGCTCAGGAGGGCCAGGCTGGCCAACAGCCCTGAGCAATGTCTGGCCGGTATGGATGTGCCTGGGACGGTGAGATCACCCCAAGTTAGAGTGGGCAGAGCAAGACCTGCAGAGGGGGAGGCTGCACCTGGGCTCTGCCCACCTGGTCTCCTGACCCACACAGTACAGCAGGCACCCCTGCCAGGTCAGGTGCTCTCTGGTTCTGGGGTCAGAGGGGTATGTGATGCAACAGACAAGCTTAGCTGCAAGTTTGGGGGTGCTGACATGCTAGGCTTCTCCCCAGCTGCCCTTCGTCCTAGAACTGAACATCTGAAAACACTAAAGGACACCAGCAGACACCGGGTCCGCTGCCTGCTCCCCTGTGACTGTCACTGCAGTGGCCTCCCTGGCCCCCCACCTCTGCACACTTCCTGCTCCTGGGACAGGACAGGCTAGCACTTGGGGACAACAGCCTGCTGCCTGCCCATGCTTACAGATGCCAACCAGAGCTGAGCTGCCACCGTCAAGAGTCGCCTCCAACCTGGAGGACATGCCGAGGCCAGCGGTGTGGGTCTGGCCAACTCTGTGTGACTGTGCTTGGCGAGGTCCTGTCAGGCTGATGCTGTGACACTGTCCAGAGGGGAAAGGACAGACTTGACCACCTGGGCATTGCTCGGCTCCTAAGAAGATGAAGTGTGTTTACTGCATCTAGAAACTAGATTCAGAGGCGTCAGCCCCAGCCGTGCAAGTGCCTGCTCCACCACTTGCCCTGTGACCTGTCCCCACAGGCAAGACTCATTCGTATTTTGGACAGGATTCATGCACGGGTGCAAAAGCTGAATTTAAAGCCTGGAGGCGGGGTCCTTGGAGGTAGGGTCCACAGGGTAGGGAAAGGGCATGCAGAGAGCCTGTCCCGTTCCTCCAGGGCTGGCCTCAGGCCATTGCCACCACTAGTCTTCCCACAGCTGACACCTGACACCAGGGGAAGTCTTCCTAGAGGGGCTGCCTCTTCTGCCCAGCCTGCCAGGGCTGAGTGCTGCGAGCCGTGCTGCTCCCCACCTGGCCTGCTCCTCACCTGGCACGCTCCACACCTTTCTGCTTTTATTTCCCCTTCCTGTTCCACAGCTGGCATGCTGCTGTCCCTGCTGTTCTTCCTGCAGGAGTGCACCTCTCCCTGGTACCTCCAGCCTACACCTCCTAGGTCCCTTCTCCACGTCCCCATTCGACACTGCACCCCATGTTAGGCCTTGTCTCATTGCCATGTCTACCACTTTTCGTTCTCATGCTACTGCCAGATACCTGTGGTGCCTGCTGACGGGTGCAGAAGGTGCCCACCTCTCCCACATCCTGCTGTCTCCTGGATCCTGATCCTCATCTTATAGGTGTGGGCATGAGCCTGGGCTCCAGCTTGCTGGCCTGGGGAGCAGGTCTCACCTAGCAGGCAGGAAGGGGGTTCCTGCTGAGAGGACACGGGGGGCTTTGGGACCCTGGATAGGCCACTGTGGCTGTGGGTGCTCCACAGGTCCAAGGCCAGAGAGAGACATCAAAGACAACTTAGAGGGAATAGAGTGGTGACCCCTCCCTTGGCCTGGGTCTGCCTGCCTCCAGATGTCTGGAACCCCCAAGATCCAAGACGGGGTGCCCTGAGTCTAGGGCACTGGGACAGGAGGCTCACAGTGGGTTGAGGAGTCTTATCTGTTATGGCTTGTATCTAAATGTTCCCCCAAACCTCATACACTCATAGGTGGGCCTTTTTGGAGGGGGCTGGATCTAGGGTGTGTGAATGTGGATTAAAGGTGGATCAGTCCATTAATTGGTCTAGCATATGTTATGGTTTGTGTCTAGATGTCCCCCAAAGCCCATGTGGCCATAGGTGGGCTTTTCAGAAGTGTGATGCTGGGATCAAGGATGTGAGGCTGGGACTAATTCCTGGTAAGATGCTAGGATTAAGGTCCTGGGTGTTAGTGCTACCCACCCTTGCTGCTCTTGTCGCTTGTTACTTTACTACTTTGCTGCCTTCTGCCTGCCCTGCTATGGACTGTTTCTCTTCTGCAATGCCCTCTGCTATGCCACCTTGCCTTGGAGCCAGCTGATTATGGGCTGAAACCTCTACAACTGTGAGCTGAAAAACATCTTTCCTCTTTTAACCTGTGGGTGTTAGGTATCTTGTCTCAGCAACGAGAAGTAATTAAGACACCATCTATCCCACCTTCCTGGGTTCCCCCTCTGCCCAGGCCTGAAGCAGGATGTGGACAGGCTCATGGTGGACAGCAGTGGGGCAGCCACGGCCCGGGCCTTGGGCAAGAGTGTGACTTTGGTTTTTGCAAGTGGTTGTGCAAATGTAACAAAAAATTGCTTATGAAAGTAGTAGAGAGTGAGAGAAACCTTACCTAATTTGTTCCTGAGAGAAAGAACCCAGGCCAAGACCACAGGCTGATCACAAGTGTAGCTTCCTGACAGGCACAGGTGTTTGGGGCAGAGACAAGCCAGAGCCGGAGGAGCACACGACATTTATTAACTCCAACGAGTGTCAAGGGCTTCCTGGATGCTGCCACCGCATGAGCCACCGGGGAAGCAGACCAGCGACCTCTGCCCCACCCTGCTCCTCAGGTCACCCTCGAGCTCCTCCTCTCTCCAGGCTCTCCCTGCATGCGCAGGAAGGACACCCTGACTTCAGCACACGACCCGGGGTGGAAGCAAGACCGCAGACAGCAGGACTCTGAGGAGAAACTGAGTCGGCATGATAAAGGGGAGGAGGGTGTCCGAGCACGGGAGAGAGCGGGTCACAAGAAGTGCTGCCCAAGCAGGCCAACTCCTAAAACAGACAGTCACACTGACACCAAGGAACAGGGTTCTGAGACACCACAGACGGGGTACCATGAAGCATTAAAGTAACCGGCACAGCATGCGGACGCAGGGGACGGGCACATCTAACTCGGGGCGTGGGCGTGGATGTCTGTGCCATGCTCACAGCACATGTGGGCTCTGCTAGTAAACAAAATGCTCTATTCATGTTTGTGAGGAGGGGCCGGCTGCAGGTGAGGCTGCAGGCTGGAGTGCCAGGTGTGCAGGATGGAGGGTCGTGGGCAGGATTAGAGTGTGCCCATCCCAGTGACCTCGGACGTCAGCCTGGAATAGACAAGCACACAGAGGGCCCCATGGGGCAGTCAGAAGCGAGGCAGGCAGGGCACTCATAGCCTCTCGCGTCCCTGAGCCCTGCAGGAGGACAGCACAGCCTGGTTAGAGGCCGTCTTCCCTGCCACCAGCCCTGTCACCTGTCACCATGTTCTGCTGCCCCTCACAGGTGCTCTCAGCCTCCTAAGCCTCCCTCCCCTAGGTCAACAGGGCCTTATTGCTGTCACAGGGATAACCATGAGTGTGATGGGTCAGTGTCCTGTACCTCAGGAACAGATTCCAAAGGAGCAGCTGCCCACGGTCAGGCAGGCATGGGCTAGGTGCAGGAAGTCTGGACACTCCAGCTTGCCCCAGCCCACTCCCCCAGGTGGAAGAAAGGTGCCAGACCGGTCCGTAGGGGTGGGGCAGGAGATGAATGGGGGAAGTCAGGGTGGGGTGTCCTTGTCCTCCTTGTCCACCTTCACCCTTCACTGTCCTGGAGCTCAGCACCAGGACAGGATGTTATGTGGCCCACGGGGCTGCGTCTGCCTGCCCAGGGGTGTGGCTGAGGAACAGGTGTCCTGTGATGCCCATTTGCATCTTGGTTCTGCACGTAAGGTGTGAGTCACGGTTGGGTCAGCTTGGCTTTGGACAGGGATGTGGAAGGAACAGAGCCAGCCCTGCCCTGTCCGCAACCTACACTGTCCTGTGAGTAGGAAGAGGGAGGACCAGAGAGCAGAGAGCAGAATCACCAGTGCCCTGGACCCACCCACATGGTTGAGGAACAGGCTGGAGGGGCCTCCTCCTGGCCACCCTAGATGGCCTTGCTCTAGCATCTGGTTCTTCACAGGTGACTGGGGTGGCTATGTCCGTGTGGAGACCAACTCTGTCACAGCTGTCCCCACTGTCCAGCCAGGAAGGTGAGGGTGGCTAGGCCTTTACCCGCCTTTACTGTCCTAGCCAGGATGTGGGGCCCCTGGACAATGCTCACCTGCAGTCACTCACCTGGCATTGATGAGATACTGGGCGAGGCTGATGTTAGCTGGGGTCCCTGTGATGGTGATCTGACGCTCTGACGACCCTTCAGTGGCATTGGCGATTTTGATCTGAGCCCCAGACATCTGACGAATTTCATTGATCTTGGTCCCCTGGCGTCCAATTATGCAGCCTATTAGCTAGAAAAAAGGATGGAGGAAGTTTCTTAGAGGACGGCCCAAGGCATCCCTGCACGATACCAATAAGAACCCCTGGGTTGCCAGAGTGCTGGCCTCAGTCTCTACCCTTGCCCTGGAGCTCAGTGCTCTTGGAAGAAGGGGCACTGCCAGGCTGGGGCCTCTGCTCAGAGCCCTCCCATGGGAAGTCCACCAGACCAACAGATGGTAGCCGCATGGCCTGGCTTCTTCAGTTCCATCAGGAGTGGCCAGAGATGGGCAGGACAGATGCCGAGTCAGGGCCCGATAGCGGCCAGGCCAGGCTGGAAGCTTGCTGACTGCGCCTCAGGGTGGGAACAGCTCTGCCTTGAGGAAGCATCACGTGCACTGGCTGAAGGAGAATGTGAAGCAACTGCCACGGAGAACTTGTCTTTCGTGAGCTCAGATGCAATTCTGACAGCACATCAGGCGTTCAGTTCCTTTCCGCTCTGTGACCTCTGAAGCAGTGGCGCAGTGGTCTATGGCCAAGGAAGTTGTCAAGAGCAGGGCCATCTGAAGTAGCCAGGGACACAGCAGGGCCACCTGGGCATGGGGTTAGCAGCTTGGAAGTCAAGGCCTCCCTCTGGCAGCAGTTGCAGTGGTGTAGGCTCCTCCCAGCCCACCCTGCTGTGTGGTGGGGACAACTTGGACTCTAGAAAAGGCTCTGCAGTGGGGCCAACTGCCATCCCTCAACTTCCACTGTGGATAGAACAGGATCTTCAAGCCACATATGGGCACTGCTGCATTGAGGACAGGAAAAGGAAGTGGCCAGACAGGAAGTGGCCAAGAGCAGCAGCATTGGGCACATGCCAGTCCTGGATGGCTTAGGTGCTCTTGCTTTTAAGTAGAGTCAGGGCTGTGCTGAGGTTGAAGGTCACCAAGATGCTTCTACTCCTTTGCACAGTGCAGTGAGATGTCACACAGAGGAGCTGGGTGGGCCGTAAGAGGGTGCAGGACGGAGAACCCACTTCAAAGCCTCTGTGACAGCAACAGGGCACCTGGGTGGGACCAGATGCTGCGCGAGCTGGCTCATATTCTGGAGGAAACCTTCAGTGTGTAGACTCTGCTCACTTTTCCAGCATTTTCTGCTGAACCTGGGTCAGGACCAGCTCTCACTGGACCATGAATCAGGTCCTTGTGAGCACAGAGGGAAACCTCTTTCCAGAGAACCCAGAGCTCTTCAGCTCCCTGGTCTGCTGCTACCACCTCTGGGTCTCACACACAGCTGTGAGGCCCCACCCAACCTACCTGGCTCCCCCTACATCTTCCAGGCTCTACCCACAGCCCCACCCATACCTGTCAGACTCCACATACATTCACAGGCCCCACTGGCAGCTTACTCCTCTGGGCTTCCCTCACCTATTTTCCTGTTCACACCAAGTCGCTCATTTTGAGTTTCCTGGTCCCGCAGGTCAGAGGGCATGGCTTCCTAATGTGCATGGTAACATTAGCCTGTTTGGCTGTGTCCCCTGGCACTGGCACGATCATCGGAACTCACCTCTCACCAGGGCCCATGTGAGAAATGGAAAAGGTGTGACCACGCAGGAGTCCCTGCATATGCCCACGTGCAGGTGGGCACACCACGCAGGCCACAGCCCCACCGCCCGCCTCCTGCCACCAGCCACCCCTGCTCTGTCCTGGGTGTGGGCGGCACGTCCTGACCTCGCTATTGCTCATCTGTTGTGTTTCCCCTGCAGCCTGAGGGGCACCAAGGCCCTGCTCTCCTACTTCCTGATGGTGCTCTTCCCTCCTCTCCTGGTGGGTGAATCGAGGGCAGCTGCCTGCTGTTTCACCCGTCAGAACAGGTCCATCCTAGCACCGATGACCCATGGCCACCGGCAGCCCAGGGCACCTCCCATCTGGTTTTCCCTGGACCTACAGACCCTGTATGAAGCCCCAAGCTCACTGTGTCCTCACTTTTGCACCTTCTATTTAAAATTTAAGGAAAAATGATAGAGATATTCTGAAGCAATTAGGTATCACCAAACCCCACAGGAAAGGTGCCTCCTACTCAGGGCACAGCATGGAACCCTGGACACCAGAGATAAGAAATGAGAGCAAGCTCCGAAGTGGGCTGTGAGGAGGCCCAGTGACTTTCCGGAATAGACAAAGGCCCCGCAGTGCACGTGTGAGCACACACATCCTGTCATGGGGTGCACTTCTGCATCTGAGCTGAGGTGACCTGCAGACAATGGCATGATCCCCCTACGACCAGGGGACAGACCCGGACATGGTGACAGTAAGTGCTGGGAGCACAAATGCACAGTTAACTTTCTTCCTGGTCTCCACGAAGGTGGCAGTTGGCTTCAGCTCTGTGGATGGCGTTGGTGTTTGAAGCCTGACATCCTTGAGAGGTCTGCTTGGGCAGGAGGCCATCAAGGGCCCTCTGTGCAGACGAAGGACTTGCTGTGGAGCACACTGGGTGGCAGCAGCTGCCTTCCTTTTGAGCAGCAGGCTGCTCTTCCAGAGAGCCCAGGACAGAGAGGGGCACGTGACCGTGGGGAGCAGGTTCTGTGCCCCAGCTCTCCAAAAGGCCCCGTGCATGCATTCCTCAAGTCCATGTCCACCTTACAATGAATACTAGGTTTCAGCAACTTTCCAGATGCTGATAGAATGGTGCTGTCAACGAGAAGCACAAGGAAAAGCCCTTCTTAGTATGCACGAGTTGTATTCATCATCTGGGTCCTGAAGGATACAGAGCTAAAATCACCGTCCTCCAAGGATGCAGGGACAGGTGACCCTATCTACTCAGCCCAAGCTCAAAATACGCTTTTGGACCAGGACGTTGGCTCAGTGGTTCTGCCACCTTCCTTGAAAGCACAAGGGCCTGAGTTTGATCCCAGGTACAAAAAAAGAAAAGAAAGGAAAAGAAAAAGAAAAAAAACTAATGCTCTTGGGAGCTGAAGGCTGGTCAGCAAAGGTGCTTGGAGTGGATGCCATGTAGCCCTAGAGACATGGGGCTCTGTGCTTGCCAGGCAGCAAGGACAGGAGACCTGGAGCAGCACTGCTGCCCGCACAGAGGCTGGGCCTCAGCCCACCACAGGCCCCATGAGAAAGGTGTTTCTGGGAGGGTCAGCAGCACTGGCCAGAGTCTCGTGGTCTCGCCACTGCTTACCGCTCTCCTGGGCTCCTGCCCTCTAGCCCTCCAGCCTTCCACCCACACTCAGGACAGGAGTCCTAGAGCTCCCAAGTCCACACTCCCTGTATCAGTTCTCATAGGGAAGAGGCAGGGCCCAGGCTTCATGCCAGGAGGGATCAAGGGGCAGAGAAGGGAAGGTTCCCGAGTCCAGCTCCAGGGCACACAAGAGTTGGAAAGGGGGCAGCTATTGCACAGCCCACACAGGGTCCTCTTCTTCCTGGCCTCTCAGCTTGGAGATCATCCAAGGATTCAAGGGAGGGTCCATCCTGCTTAGCCCAGGGAGGACAAGGGGAAGGCCAGAGCCTCGGGATGAGCAGACTACCCACACTGGACACGGGATCCAGACAAACCTGTGGTGCTCAGCTCACTTCCGGTCTTCTGGGCCAACAACAGAGTCCCAAACCTCAGGAGAGGCAGGGCTCATGGGGCAGCAGTGCGGGGAGCCCACTTAGAGCATTGCCTTCACCACACTCAGGTTCCCAGCCCAGCCCCTGATGAACTATGAGGTCACCAGTCCCTTTCTCATCTGATACCGCAGAGAAACAAAATCACACATTTTATGTAGAATGGAAAAAAAAAGAGGAAAGAAATCAAACAGGTTGGTCTGCAAGGTGTTACTGAGTAGTGGGTAGCAGCTGCCGGTGTCTGGCCTTGAAGCAGGGGACAGGTGGGCACTGGTATACTCACATCATTGGGAATGGTGAGCTCATGAGTGCTGGCCGGGGGGCTGGCTTCCAGACCTGGACACACCAAGGGGACAAGGTTAGGCTGGTGGTAAGGCTGGTCGCAGATGTAACCCAGGCTGGGCAAGGTGGGGTGAGGGCTGGCCGAGGGCCCTCTGAGCTCCCAGCCCCACGAGAACCCAGCCTCTTGAGCACGAGCTTCTGTTAGAAGAAACAGGGCCCCAGCACAGTGACATTTCATGCCCTACTCTGGCACACTGTGCCTGTGCTCCCCTGTGTTTGCACAATCTCTCCCTGGGCGCAGGGAGGGTGTCCACCATGTCCTGGGCCGCTGTGACACCTGGGGCATAGGCCATACTGTCACACTGAAAACACGTGTCCTTCCTCCTTCAGCTCATGGGAGACCTTGCTAACTCTGACCACTGTTCTGCTCTCCTCTGTGCCCCCGACTCCCATGGCTCCAGAGCAGCACTGTTGATTAACTTTGTTCAAAGGCTGCCGCAAGGCTGGGGCAGCTAGGCCCACACAGGGCTCTATAGCCTGTAGCAGGGAGACTGATCACCAGCTCAGTCATAGAGGAGCTGCTAGGCCAGGGAGAGGCCACACTACTGTGCAGATCTCCTTCTTTTTTTTTTTGGTTTTTTGAGACAGGGTCTCACTATGTAGTTGAGACTGACCTGGAACTCACTATGTAGCCCAGGCTGGTCTCGAACTCACAGCGATCCTCCTGCCTCAGCCTCCTGAGTGCTGGGATTACAGGCATGCGCCACCATGCCAGGCCCAGATCTCCATTTTTATGCTGAAGGATGAGGATGAGGTCTAGGTTACCACCAAGCCCAGGCTGTCATCCTTGCAAGGATCAACTTGTACTACCAGGTAGCAGCTTTAAAGAGTTCACGTGCAAGCTTGCTTCTGCCTCCAAAACAGGGACAATGGCACAGAGGGCCCCAAGCCAGAAGTTGCCATGACCATCCCTCCAGGGCCATAGCTTTCTGTGCTCTGTGTCCCCATTTCCTGGAGATGCGACTCAGACCTCCAAAGCTGAGCCCTGCTCATGTCCTTCTCAAGCTCGGAGCGGCCCCAGACACTAGGATCACCCAGACCCAGGCTCAACCCTTCCAACCTGTGCCCTCCACTGTGCTCCTGCAGTGCCCCCTACCTTGCACTCAGTCCTATCTCCGCACAGACTGGGCAGTTCCCCAGAAAAACCTCAGCAGACCACTGCCCCGCAGGGTGCATCTCACTCTTTAGCTCTGGAGCCAGCCTTGCCCCTCTCTTCTGGCCTCTGAGAATCTGTCACCCTCTCCCTGCTGAAGTGACTCCTCGGGCAGGCATCCAGCATGGTGGGGCCAAGTGGTGAGTGCTGAGTGAACCAACTCATCCCCAATTCTGTTTTCTTTTT